AATCAATCAATCAATCAATCAAAGAAATGAAGGTACGTGACATCATTTTTTTATTTTATTTTTCTTAATCAATCAATGAATCAATCATTGTCAATCAATCAATCAATCAATCAATCAATCATCAGTTAATAAATCAATCAATCAATCATTAATCAATCAATCAATCAATCAATCAATCAATCAATCAATCAATCAATCAATTAATCATCAATCAATCAATCAATTAATAATTTTTTTAATTTTTTTTTTCCCCTTACATGGAGTGTCGTACGAACGACCGTTCATACTCCCTGTATCTCTAGGGGGATACACACTCCGAACTCAATGCGCCTGACGTATTTGCTTTCACAATGATCAACTCTACTCTTATGTACTCAACTCTAAAATACTCTACTATACTCTTGTGTACTCTACTGTACTGTACTATATATTGCGATACTCTTAATATTTACTCACTCTACTCTACAGTAATTGTACTGCACTTCACTCCACTCCCCTCCACTGTACTTTTTTGTACACTACTCCACTTCCCTGTATTCTACTTTTTTGTACGTTACTCTTTCGCTCTTGACTTTATTTGACTCTACTCGACTCGACTTTAATCTACTTTGCTTTACTCTGCTTTGCTTTACTCTTCCCTTTTGTGCTCTATTGTACTCTACTAATCTCTATTCTACCGTAGTTTATGCTACTCACTCTACTGTACTCTACTCGATTCTAGTCTACTTTACTCTAACCTACTCTACTCTACTTCAGAATACTCTATTTTACTTCACTCTATTTTACTCTACTTTACTTTACTCTACGTTACTCTGCGCTTCCCCACTCTTCTCGACTGTACTATCTTCTACTATTCTCTTCCCTACTCTACTCTACTATAGGATACTCAACTCTACTATAGGATACTCAACTCTACTATAGGATACTCAACTCTACTATGTTTTAATTTACTTGAAAATACTATACGCTTCCCTACTATTATCGACTCTACTTTACCTTAAGTTTCTCTTCGCCACTCTTCTCTACTATTTGCTTCCCTGCTTTGCTCTACTGTACGCTGCTTCACTCTACTCTACTCTACGCTTCCCTACGCGACTCCACTGTACTCTACTTCAGTCTACTCCACTCTACTCTACTCTACTCTACTCTACTCTCCTCCACTCCTCTTTGCTCCACTCCACTCTTCTACATACTACTCTACTCCACTCTACTTCACTCAACCCTGCTCCACTCCACTCCACTCCCTTCCACTCCACTTCACTCCCCTCCACTCCACTCTACTTCACTCCACTCCACTGCACTCTACTTCATGCCACTCTAATCCACTCCACTCCACGTAACTCCACTAAACTCCACTCGACTCAACTTTACTCGTCACTCCACTCCACTTCACTTCACTCTATTCCACTCCACTCTACACCACTTGACTTGACTCTACTCCACTTCACTCTGCTCTACTTCAATCTTCTCTACTCTACTCTACTCTACTCTACTTTACGCTCCTATACTTTACAATTTCATGCTCCTCTCAATTCTACTATTCTCTACTCTTCTTTTCCATACGGTTCTCCACCCTACCCTTCTCTTCCCTACTCTTCTCTACTCTATATTTCCCTGTTTTTCTCCTCCCTACGCTTCTCTATTGTACGATTCCCTACTCTATGCTTACGTGCTCTTCCCTACTCTGCTTTGCTCTTCTCTGCCATGCTGTGCTTTACACTATTCCGCATTGCCAATAAGTTCCTTTTATCTTTTCCGCTCTGCTGTACACTCCTTCACTCTGCTCTACTCTACTTCACTCAGCCTTACTTCACTCCATTGTGCTCTACTCTACTTCACTCGGCTCCACTTCACTCGCCCACACTATCCTCCACTTCACTTCACTCGACTCTTCTCTACACCACTCCACTCCACTCTACTTTACTCCGCTCTACTTCACTCTTCTTCACTCTACTCCACTTCACTCTACTATAATCCACTCTACTTCACTCTTCTCCACTTTAGTCCATTCCCCCTACAGAAAAAATGTGCGATTTTTCATCGAAAGTTTAGCGTACGTCGATGCATGCAACCAACTGTTCATTGTGTGTATATTTTATGTTCGCCTCGGGACATGTCATGTGGCATACAGGAAGTGAAGGAAAAAAATAATTTTCACTTATGTTACACATGAGATGGTATGTGGGTCAGTGTTGAACCCAATGTTGGCAGAGTGTGGGCCAGTGTTGAACCCAATGTAGGCAGCATGTTGAAATTTTGTTGATCAACTGTTGAACATCGGACGACACGTTGAAGTCGTGATGGGAGGTGGACCCCCGCGATTCCCAAAAAACAGCCTCACAACGCATTGTGGTGAATTGCGATCATTATTGATGTTGCCTAGTTAGTGTCCGTACCCGTATTCCTCTTACTGAAATGTATGAAGACATTGCAGTCTGGATATGTGCATTTTGTCCTCTCTTCGACTACCTGAAATAGAGTATCTTTATTGGTTCACTACTAGGGGCCATTTTTCTTTTCTTCTCACCGTCGTGAGTTTGTCGTGGCTCACACTAGGGAACCACTTCATATACATGTTCTGCACTTATGATGCATCTGGCACGAGATCTATGATGATTTTGTCTTTACTACTTAGTTTAATAAAATAAACGAAGGAAATTGACAGCCAAACGTGTATCGACACAATAAGCTAAGATTGGGTAGGACCACTATTAACCACATTCTTTGTCCATCAGTCGTGAAAAGGTAGTTGTCAAGAACACTTGCATACAACCGCTGGAAGCTATGAGTAAAAGAGGGTGGATGACTTTTATTATTAACATGTAGCTACAACATGAAAATGGCGGACGATCATATTATTCCGCAACAACCACGATATATGTGCATTTTATTATGCATCCCAGTACCAGGAATTGACTCTCGTCATTGGATCACCACTACAGCCCATTTTTTCTGTTCTTCTCTCCAGCACCTCAGATTAACTCTTGTCATACATTCATTTTGTCATGCATGCCAGTAGAAGAAATTAACTCTTGTCTACATCCATTTTGTCAATCATCCCAGCACCGGAATAACTTTATATAAATAAAAAAAAAGAAAACTGACAGCCAAACCGGTATCGACACAATAAGCTAAGATTGGAAAGGACCACTATTGACCACATTCTTTGTCCATCACCCGTGAAAAGGTAGTTGTCAAGAACACTTGCATACAACCACTGGAAGAAACGGCTAGAAGAGTGTGGAGGAATGTTATTATTAACATCTATATACAACATCAAAACGACTGACGATCATATAATTCCGCACAAACCACAAGATGGCTCCGATAAATACAATGTGAACATGGCGGACGATCGTTATTGTCAGAATCAGTCTCCTGATAAATACACACAAAAAATTCATCGAAACTCGCAAGCGAAACTTTGAATCATCTCTCTCTCTCTCTCTCTCTCTCTCTCTCTCTCTCTCTCTCTCTCTCTCTCTCTCTCTCCCTCTTCGCATTTGTAAAGTCTCATGATACATACCACATCTGCAATATTAGTCTCCTGATAGATGCCACAGAAATACATGGCGTACTAAAAGTTTGACCGCCCCTAAGTTCAAGTACAGTGCGCTGCTGCATCGCACATCCCGTCACGAACTCAGTATTACAGTCTTGCAATTGAAGTTTTTGTCTCTCGTTCTCTCCCTGATTCGCTGCCACGTGGTTTCGCAAGAACTTCAAACTCGTAATCATCTTTAGTGATATTTGTGACACGAGCCGCATTGCTTTGCCTGCTGGGTGTTCCTGCGTGGAAGAATGCCACAACCTTTTCTGCAACCGATGTTGTGCGATCAAGCTCGAATATTGAAAAGTTCATTACGGTGTCGCGATTACGCACTGACGCCACAATATCCTGCGTAATTGATGCTAATTTATGAATCTGCTCTGATGTTTTGCTTGTCTTCTTAGTCTGTTCAATTTCAGACCGCACAACAAGTTCTGCAAATGCCAGTTGTTGCAAAGTTACCCCGACCCCTCCATCATCCCTTCGCATCTGAAAAACTTTCTCTATCGCTGTCTTGAATGGTTTTGCACCCCACGGATCATTACCCAGTTGTCTCCATGACTTGTTTGTCTGCTTCTCTGCTCGCAAGTTCTTGCGCACTTCCTGTTGGTGGTCCATTTCTGCACATCGCAAGAGTGGTAGCCCTTTCTCTGCCCAAAACCAGTGTTTCAACTGCCATGTTATCTCTCCTCTCATCGTTGTCATGACTTTGTTACATTCCTCCAGCACTGACTGCACTCCTATACTATCCACATACATACTGAGTCCCTCCTTCACAATTCTCCCTAACATGTTTGCTGCTGATTGCGGAGATGCGAAGAAGTCGTCCTCCGAAGGGTACATTCTTACATCCTTCGCCGTAGTGAATGCATACGCCTTTGCGATTGAACGAAATAATCTATCCTTTGCTTTCTTAGGAAAATGTATATTGCCTATGTCGCTTGTCTGCTCGTGGTGTCCTCTCTTTCTCTGTATGTTTGACGGTTCCTCGACAATGTCATCCCCTGGTAAGAGATAACGGACAGACGCGAAAAGACAGCAAACAACGTACATGGCCAGACAACACACGATTTTGTTAATAGTTTTGTAATATTTCTTAACTCTCTTTGTGCATCAATTCAAGAACGACATATACGAGGTCTGAGGTTGTGAACTACTGTTTTAAATAATGCACTTACATTGCTGCGACGACGACTCCTTGCGCACCAACTGCTTGTTCGTCTCAACTTTTTCTCCTTCCCCTCGTCCAAGTGTTCCTTCACTTTCACGTTTTGGCCTCTTCCCATTACTCCGTGATTTCTGACTGTCCTCGTCAGTGCTGTAGTATGAAGTTTCCTCTTCTTCATCATTGTTCGCGTCACTGCTTACATTGCCGCTTTCCTGCTGTGCGCCACTACCCTCTCCTTCTTTTGAATCCCCTGTGGTCTCTGATTCACTGTCACCGCCCTCGTCGTCTGTTCTCGCATTTTCCTCGCTTTCAAAACTAGACGCGTCCTCCATAGACCGCTGCGACATTGCTTTCAGAACGGGAGGCGTCCTCCATGAGCCGTAAATCGCCCACCTCCATGAGTTCATTCCACATGTCGAGAGAATGACGTGAGACATCTAACAGGGATGCACTGTCATTGAGCCTGATCAACCTGTCCAAAACTATGGCCGCAGTAACATTGCGCCATGTCAGCTCCGTGGGTGGTTGATAAGAAATCCAACGTCCTCCACATTTGAAGGCTAAGCAGTGCTCACCTCCAATGATGCCAGGCTGTATACAGCCAGGTTCCCAATTGATAGCATACTGAAAACATTCCTCGACATTCGTCCTTCGAACATTCTCATTAGGCACAATGCATAACATACGGGAGTGCGATGTCTCGACTCTTGCCTGTTCGCCACTTCTTTTTTACCAATCACGGTCGTGCTATGGTTGTTGCGGCCTCTCCCAAGTTCATCATCATCTCCAATCACCATCTCTTCTGTCCCAACATCCAGTGTCGCCCCTATGCCACACTCCGTCTCCATCCCCCCTTCTTGTGCATTCATGTGTGTCTGCTCCGCCATTGTCACATCAGCTCCCGCCATGGCTTCCACCATGTCTTCTGTTCCGATGCCGATGGTCTCTCCGACTGCCGCGGTTGAAGCATTTAATCCATCCATCTAGTCCACGAGACATGACATGTTTTTGAGAGAAATCATTGTTGCGAAAACTGTTGGTGGAGAGAGAGAGAGAGAGAGAGAGAGAGAGAGAGAGAGAGAGAGAGAGAGAGAGAGAGAGAGAGAG